AGGCAGGTAGTTTAAACACACTCATGACATAGGTGGGTATCACATGTGCCACTGCCTTGATAAGAATCTCTTTGTTTCCAAACGAAATGTATTGTTCACCCCAATCAATAAGTCTTTCCCTCATTCTATCTTGCAGCGTCTCAAATTGCCCCCTATGGATTCTTCCTTTAGGAACTGGTAGGGCAAGATATTTTGGTTCAAACACCTGTTGTGTTACCTCCAACAAATTCTTGATCTCATCCGCAACTGATCCTTTGCAATTGTCAGAAAAAAGGATGGAACACTTCTCGGGGTTTATGAGCTGACCCGTCGTCGAGGAATAAGTATTCAACAAACCTTTAACAACATTCGCCTGTTGGCCTGAAGCTTCAAAAAACAGCATGGTGTCTACTAGGAAAAGGCCTACTAGTGGCGCACCAGTTTTGCCTACTAATGGCGCACTACTGGTGCGCCACTAGTACCACGGCACTAGTATTAAATACTAATGGCGCACCACTGGTGCGCCTGGCGCACCTAGGAGTGCGCCATTAGTATATCACACGGTGTGCCATTACTATCTGAATTAGTAATGGCACACCACATAGGGAGTGCGCCATTAGTATTTTTTTCAGAAAAAAAATTTCAAAAAAAAATTCAATTTTTTTTTGCTTTTTTCTTAATCTCGGGTCACTATGGCTTAATCTCGGGTCAATATGCTTAATCTCAAGTCAAATCGCACTAAGTGGTCAAACTTCCCAAAAGTTCACCCATCCTCACACTACTCCAGCCCGAGCACGCTTAACTTCGCAGTTCTATCCAACCCCAGCATCAGCTCACTTTACAAGCACATGTTAATATATCTATCATATCAATCCTATTAAACCTTGTTGATGTCTAGGACTTTGTTCATGTTCATGACTATGATGAAATTTTGAAAAATATTTCAAACTTACCGGTCATATTACGTATCATTTTTAGAAAAACAAAATTCAAAACCATTTTTTTTCGTTACTAGTGGCGCACCTAGCAAACGGTGTGCCACTAGTAAGTTTGAAATTTTTTGAATTTTTTTGCCTCCAGATCTTAAAAGCCCCGTAAATTTTTTTATGTTAGGTTTTTGAGGATTTTAAAAATGTTTAACAGGGTACCCCAGTTAAATTCGAATGTAACTTTTCGAGTAGATGATTTTTCATATAAAAAACTTTTTCATCCGAGTTAGTATGCAAATGTTATGCCCATTTTACAAATTCTAGAGAGATTTTGCAAATAAAGTCGAAATTCATACTTGCAAATTTCCCAACAACTAGACCACATATCACATGGGAAACTTATTTTCTTTTATTTTTTTGACATTTCCATCATTTTCTTTTATTTATTTTTAAACTGACAAGGCGGTCGGGGGGTGCATTCGGGGGAATTTTGGGTCAAAATTAGTAATGGTGCACCGTGGGTGTGGTGCGCCATTACTAGTTAAACTAGTAATGGCGCACCATAAATTGTTAGTAATGGCGCACCGTGGGTGTGGTGCGTCATTACTAGTTGCGCACCACACCCACGGTGCGTCATTACTAACTTTATACTAACTTTAAAAAAAATAAAAAAAATATGTTAGTAGTGGCGCACATTACTAGTTAAACTAGTAATGGTGCATTATCCCCTGGTGCGCCATTACTAGTTTTGTAAAAAAAGTTGTTACTAATGGCGCACCCTGTATGTGGTGCGCCATTAGTATTTGAAGTTTAATGGCGCACCTATATGTGGTGCGCCATTGCTATATACTAATGGCGCACCATACATGTGGTGCGTCATTAGTGTCAATTTCATCTATAGCCGTTTTCCTAGTAGTGTGCATCTGCAAATAGGAGATGAGAAATCTCCGGTGCACCCCGACAAATGCTCACCCCGTTCAAGCTTCCTTCATTAACTGACTTAGACAGGAGAGCATATAACGCATCAGCAACAAAGAGAGACAAGAACGGAGACAAAGGATCACCTTGTTGAAGGCCTCTAGATGGTAAAAAATCATCCAATAGCTTCCCATTAAGTTTAATCGAGTATCTAACTGATTTGACACACATCATTATCTAGGTAATCCACTGATTAGAAAACCCCCATTTGCTAAGGGCCCTCTCCAGAAAATCCCAGTCGACCAGATCATACGCCTTCGAGAGATCGAGTTTGTACGCGCAAGCTGCCCGACTGTTGCTCTTTAGAGACTGAATATGATGAATGCACTCCAAAGCAATTATAGCATTATCCGAGATGAGCCGGCCCGGAATAAAAGCATTTTGGTTCTCCGAAATCAGCTCCGACAACACCGGACGGAGACGATTAACCAAACATTTAGAAACCAGTTTGTATATTACATTGCAAAAGCTAATCGGCCTGAAATCCTTTAGCTCCTTGGGATGAGGGACTTTCGGAATAAGGACGATCGCTGTATCATTAACCCCTTCTGGCATGGAGCCCGAGACAAAAAACTCCAACGCTACTGCTGTGATTTCAGATTTTAGAGCGGCCCAATTCCGTTGATAGAACCTTGCCGGGAAACCGTCCGTTCGTGGAGCTTTCAGCGGGACAATTTGAAAGAGGGCGTTGGAAACTTCCTCCTCAGAAAACGGCGCGCACAACATGGCTTTCATCTATTCAGTTACCTTAGGTGCAATAGCCTCAAGTACGACATCAGGTGTTAGGGTCGGATATTTGGTGTATACTTC